ATTTGCTCTGCTCGATCTCGTTTAAAACTAAGAATTGTAACGGGTCAGGTTCGGGCCCATTATTGGTATCCCCGTCCCCGAAACTGATAACTAAAACCGTCCCCGTGACCTCCCCGATCCCCGTCGGGGATCTTATCGGGGATCCCGTTCGGGTCCCCGCGGTTTCCCCGATCCCGTTGGGGAACCCATTAAGGTAAAAAACCTCTTTTTCTCGTTCACCGTTGGTTATAACCAAACCCAAAACCGAAAAACCGAAACAAATCTAAAAAAATTACAATATGTTAATTTTCACAACTAAAAGTAAATTACAATTTTTTTAAAGATGCAAGTTTAAATGTCTCAAACATAATCGAACCAATTACAAACAATGTATTATATTACAATTTAAAACTAAACAGAACTTCAAACATCATACAACTAAAATCACGATTTCACAATTAGACAAATAAATTAGACTTTTTCGTGAGCCTTATTTGGGTTGTTGAAGTAAAGTGGATAAAAGTTTTTTAAAATTTTAATATGACTATTTTCTTTTAATGATATCATATATATATATATATAAATTAAAATTAATATATATACACATATCATGCCGGGCCGATGATCACCGCCCCTACCCCCGTTAAAATCCCCGATCCCCGCCCCGTCCCTGAAACCGGCCCGAAAGTTTTGGTTTTCGGTTTTCACCATCAGTTTCAGGTTTTTTTGTCATCCCTATTCAAAACTGCTCGATCTCATTCACTCTGTTCGATCTGGTATGCTCTCTCTCTCTCTCTCTCTCTCTCTCTCTCTCTCTCTCTCTCTCTCTCTCTCTCTCTCTCTNTTTCGGTTTTTTTTTGCCATCCTATTCAAAACTGCTCGATCTCATTCACTCTGCTCAATCTGGTATGCTCGACCTCTCTCTCTCTCTCTCTCTCTCTCTCTCTCGTTCTTTCCATCCTAAAAAGGATTTTCTTGAAATGTCATCTATGTAATTTTCTCGTTGAATTCCGTGAACGAAACAAAAAAAATTCCAATTCCGTTAAGAGTTCCATTCCAATTCTATCCAACCAACCACAATCAAAAGACATGATCAAATTCCATTTCATTCCCTTAAAGTCAAATTCATTTGATGAATTCCAATTCCATCGAATTCCATTTTACGAACCAAACACCCCCTTAATATTAAGTTAAAATCAAATATGTTACTATAACTTAACCAATTAAACTAACCACTCATTAAGCTTGTTAAGTTTAAAACAAATGCCACCTAACTTAACATATTAAGTCAATCACTTAGTATTAAGTTAAAATCAAACACCTTAACATAACTTAATCAATTAAGCTAACCGTCCATTAAGCTTATTAAGTAGAAAACAAAAACCCCTTAAGTTTTCATGTTAATGTATGTTAAACTACGTTTGTAGATGTTCATATTTGTTAAAGTCAACTGAAGTAAAAGTACTATATGTTAAAGTTCAATATTTCCATCTCAAAATGTATTAAGGTTGACATGTTAAAATACTGCAAGGCGTTTGAGGGATGTTTTGGTATGTTTAGATCTGTGTCCGCCTACATAGCCCTCGAATTTCTGTAAAAATACATGCTTGTGAGCTTGTCACCTTGATTTTAGGGGAGTCGAGTCAAGAGGGTGAACTCATCCAAAGACAATAGCAGTTTCTCATAGTTTAAAAAGTTCGCACGTAATTCTAAGTATATACATGTATCCAGTGACTTACTTACAATAAAAAAAGAAAATATTCGGTCGTTTTTAACAAAAACTAAATCCAAAATAATTTCTTTCTGGTTTTGTTTTATGAAAATTACAAAAATGCTCAGTTTAGCTATTTCATAGAAATTTTCCATAAGTTTTTATAGCAGCTTTGTTTTTCTTGTGTATATAATCATCTCATGATATCGATGTAAAGCTAAATATTTAAATAAAAGTTTACATATGTGGTTGCTAAAAAACATTTATTTATGGTTAACAGAAAAAACAACCTTAATTATGTCGAATACAAGTTACTAAAGTATGATTACAACAAGTTATTAATTTTTAAGTCATTTGAGGTGTGATGTATTGGTTAAGTTTCAAGGGGATATAATAGAAAAATCTCATTTATTTCAGGTTTGAATCTAGGAGCTGTCAAAGCACTTCTAGTCATGAAAGTTCACCAGCGATGGTTTTAGGCTATTCTTGATTGTTCGGGGGACTAGTTGATACGTGTAAGCTTATTCAAAAACTCATGGTTATCAAAAAAAAATATTATTATGATAATTGTATTTGATTTTTTATAGGAATAAACAATTAAACGACTCTCAATCTTGTTTTCTTGAAACAAAAATTATGATTTAATTACAAGAAAGAAACAAATGTGATAATTGGAAAAGTTATGATTATTTACTTACCTCATGTTATTTTTTTAATAAGATATAATGTTATTCATCAAAGTAAGGTGGTGTTTGCTTCGTTTGAATCTGATAGAATTTGAAAGAATTAGAACAACCAATTCCATTCATGCATTTGGTTTTTTTGAGTTTCCATAAAGAATTCGAATTCCACAAATGGTGGAATGTAAATTTCTTTAGGGTACGTTTGGTTCACATAATGGAATTTGGTGGAATTAGAATCCATCAAATAAATTTGACTTTCAAGGATTTGGAATGAAATTGACCACGCTTTTGGTTGGTATGAATTGGAATGAACCTCTTAAAAAATTGAAATCTTCATGTTTGTTTGAGCCACCCCACCCTCCCTACCAAACCCTCGCCAATCCTACCCATACCAACTACCATGACACTACTGTCATCGTTACAGCTACCACCCTACCATACCCTCCCACCTACACCCTACCGACCGCCATTCCACTACTATCGTTATAGCTATACCCCTTCTCCCACCATATTCCCACCATTCCCACCCTACCCAAACCCCGCTACCACCCATATCCCCAATCATGCCCTCACTATGCCCCGTCCCCACCACTTCAACCCGCATGGGTGGATAGTGGGGGTAGCTGTGACGACGACAGTAGCGGCATGATGGTTGGTAAGGTGTGGGGGGTAGTTGTAATGACGACAATAATGACATGGTGGTAGGTATGATGAGTGGGGAGGGGGCAGGCGGGGTGTGGTGGTAGTTTATGATGACAACATTAGTAGCATGGTGGTTGGTTTAGGTGAGCTGGGGTGAATGTTGAGGTAGGGTAGGGATGAGTGGCAACGGGATGGACAAGATGGGGTGGGCAACGTAGGGGTTAGGTAGGTGGGTATAACAACGACAATAGTGGCATGGTGGTGGGTTGGGGTTGGGTAGAGTGGGTGGGAGTGAGTGGTGGTTGTGACGACAACAACAATGGTATGGTGGTGAGGGGGCTAGGGGTGGGGGCGTGACAGTGACAATAGTAACATGGTCGTAGTAGGTATGTAGGGTGGGAGACGGTGGGTGGGCATGATGACAACGATAGTGGCATGGCGGTCATGGTGCGTTAGGGGTTGGGGTAGCGTGGTGGCGATTGTGACGACAACAAGAGTCGTGTGGTAGTGGGTGTGGGGCTTGACAGTAACAACAGTAACATGGTCATCGTCGTGGTGGGGGCAAGTACGGGTGGTGATGGAATTCAAATGTTTCACTTATGCTAAGGAATAATCAATTCTTTAATTTGTGCAATTCAAATGAATTTAAAGGATTTCATCCATTTCAATATGTGAATCAAACAAAGAAATTGGAATTCGATCAAAGAAAATGATCATATTCCAATTCTTTTGAATTCCTTAGAATTCTACGAACAAAACAACACCTTAGGCTCTATCAAGGAATTTTGATTCCTTCCTACCATCTTTAAGAAAAGCTATCATACTCTTTATATTACAGCATTCCATACCATCCCACCACGATGGATGTCACCACCACCGTTGCCGCCACCATTGTCACCACCGCCATCACCGTCATTACCAATGTCGCCTTCACCCACACCTCCCACCCCACCGCCACTATTGTTACCAATGCCACTACCACCACCACCATTGACACCACTACCGCCTCTACCCCACCATCAATATAATATTCAATGAAGCAAACAGACGTATTCAAATTCTTTTAACATATTTTTATTCAAATATATTCCTTCAAACCAAATGTATGGTCAAACATGATCATATTTCACTCAAATTCCTTTAGATTCAAATTCTAACAGAGTCTATTATGTGAACCAAATGCCACCTAAGTATCTTTGTTCAAATCAATGATCATTGACCAGCCCTCCTGTTGAATCAGTGACCAAATGGATGCTTGTTGAATCAACAACATTTAGTATCAAGAAGTTGCTGGTAAGATAATATTTTTCACAATTGATCCTTTTTTAACTGTCAGTATTATTGGAATATTTATTAGAAAAAGAATAACAAACAGTTTCTCATTTAACACTCGATAAATATATTCATTTTTGATAGAGCTTCTTTTCCGATCTAGGTGTCAGTAGAAAAAAGTAATAATTGACCCTTAATTAAACATCAATTTCTTAATATAACGCGTAAAACAAAATAAATGTGTTATTATATGTTTATACTAATAATTACATATTCAAATAAACCAATTTAACAATTACAGACGTGTGGTCTCGTCAACTAAATAATGGTTCAAAGAATAAATATTTTATATTCAATTTGATTTTCTTCTTCATTAATTGATTAATATATTAATTAAATTAAACCAAATAATGTTATTAAAAGATTATTATATGATTAATAATTTTGTATTTTCTCAAAAGAAATACCTGAAATAAAAAATGAATATTAAATTTGTAATAAAGATTGGTTTTTGTTTTGTCTACCGCCAACAAATGGCAGTTGAGTCTCGTGGCGGGTCAGTTCAGGTTTGTATATACATGGTACAACTCTCCAAGCACAACTTACAACTCTGCGTTACATCCTTCCCTTTTTCTGATACTGACCCACCCACCCTCATCCACCATCCCACCACCTCTGCCCTCTGGTCCTGTTCTCTTTTAAGCCTCCTCCTCCTCTCTCTCTCTCTCTCTCTCTCCATAAAGACAACTGTTTACAGACACTGAAATGACTGAATCTTCAATCTCATCATCCATGGCTTTTGATATTAAGGAAAATGAAGCGTTGATTCCGAGCAATCAGACTCACCAACGCCACCACATGGATTCCGGTTCTGAATCTGCTTTTATCGGTTCATGGGGTTCCTCATCGTCGTCTTCCTTCCTCACTACCTCCTTCGGGTCGGAGCTTGATTCAAACGATGCAGATCTAGACGACGGTGGCGAAGAAGACGAGTTCATTGCTCAGTTAACTCGACAAATGGCTGATTACATGCTTGAAGAAAACGACGATAGCGGAGGTGACGAAAATCCTCCTTCGAAACCCTCGGTTGTTCAGAAACGCAACTTCCAGGTTTTTCGGAGAACCTCCGTTGAATTGAATTACTACTGTGTTGTTGATGGAAATCCATGTGTTTACTGGTTTTGTTTATGTGTTAGGAACCTAATTACAATCAAAATCACGAACAAACTCGACGGAGCTACGCAGATACCGTGAAGAAATCGATAGTCGGATTTCAATCGGACCAAAATTTTACCGTCGATAAACAAAAAGAATCCCCAATTCAAGTACGAATTAGCTAGTGTGAACAAATTCAGGTACTGAACCTGATTTTTGGATTCGAATCCAACGATTAAATTGACGTGTGATCTGTTTTAGCTGTATCAGGTAGAAAATCAACCTCGAGTAGGAGGGCAGAGTGGTGGTGGGTGGGGAAGAAAAGGGAAGATGACCGAGTCGACTCAGCAGATGAAATCACACCAGATGCATAACAACAGAGGTTTGTTGAATGGCGGCAAGGCGTACTCCGGCGGCGTTCACGGGTCGTCGGGTATGAGAGCCATTTTTCTTGGCGGGTCGGGTTCACGAAGCGTGATGAGTGGGACCGGTGTTTTCTTGCCTCGTTCAGCCACAGACGCAACCGATCACAGCCGCAAAAAGCCAGGTACGTCACTCTGGGGTTGCTTTTTTACCACTCGTCATACCATTATTTTATTAAAATCTACTAAATATGTATATATATATATATATATATATATATATAATATCATAAGTATTTTAATAATAATAGAAAATAAAATGATTTACTTCATAATTGCATCTACTTCTAGATTTCAATTTTTGTTGTAAAAATATGGTATTTTATTTTATTTTGGGGGTATTATTAATTTACCTATTTACTAAAACTTAAAATGTGTATCGAACAACTTTACTTTATCATTTTAGTTTATATAAAGCAATTAAAAACAACTCTATGAAATTAGATGTATATCTGTGTGACATATAAATGGTTAAATATTGCTCTCAATGAAAACAAGGTCGAAGTAAGAGAACGTGAGAACGGCGTAATCCCGTATGATTTTTACTGATTCATATGTAATTATGAAACACAAACGATACAAGGGTGTGAGGGTAGTGCATGTGATTCTATATGTAGGTTTAATATAAAATCATATATAATTTGGTGTTTTTCCATGTTCTATTTAAATATGAGTGGAGTCTCTATTCAAATAAAAGAAGTTGGATATCATGAGAAGGTCAAAAATAAAGGTTTATGTATGAGTAATTAAAAAATTAATTTGAAAATTCATATAAATCTACGTTACAAATAATTTACATATATATCTTCAAAAATGAATTTGTCCCAGTATTCATATATATATATATATATATATATATATATATCTTTCTAAAGCTTATATATATATAATAGTATTAAATTAATTTGAATAATAAATAAAAAAGGAATCTTTAAGAAAATAAAAGAGCTGTCCTTTGGATTCCACATGCGGTGAGATGGTAGCCATTGACTTTGAATCTAAGATGTATATTCAAGATTCATAACCCCAAGATTCCCTTTCATTGGTGGTCACCCACCTCTTTCAGTTTTTTGGATCTCACTTTTCTATTACCGTTTTTATAAATACATAAAACAATTTCAATTAATTATTTAACTATATTTTTATAAAATAATAGTTAAAGAATTTTCGACCGCTATAATATATTTTTCTTAAAGTAGAGTATTATCTTAAAAAAATTATATTTAATTCAACACTTTTATTTTAGAAATTTTAAGAATATCTATAATATATTCTCGAAAATAAAAAATTAAAAGTTAAAATTTTTAAAAAAAATTATAATCATCTTTATTTTAAGGATTACAATATGAATTATATTATTAAAATATTCTATAACTTTCATAAAATATTATTTATCTCCTATAAATTTAATCTCAAGAATTATCATTGATTGAAAGAATAAAAAAAAAATTGTTTCATAGTTAACTATTTTTAGAGAGTTCCAAATTTAGAAAATTTCAACCTGTTTTTCTACTTTTTCATTTTGGAGAAGGTTTTGAAAAATCTTTTGAAGAAAAAATCTCCAAATCTCCATTTTAGATGTTATAAGAGTATCTTCAGCAGATTTTTTAAAATGGAGAATTAAAAGTCAAAATATTTTAAGAAAATTTATGTTCATTTCCAACAACTTTTACGCTTTGGATATTACAATATGAATTATATCATTAAAATACTCAATATTTTCATAAAATATTATTTCTCTTTCATATATATATTTAATTTGAAAAATTGCATCAAAATAAATCAATTTTGATTTAATTTTTATTTTAGAAAAACAACTTTTAGATCATCATCAAAGGACTTGAAACAAAGTTTTCATATATTTAAAGTTCTCCTAAATCTGTTGACCTACTAACGAAAGTATTTTTCCACGTAAGATGTCACGATCGTGTGTTGTTAATGATGACATATACCTCTCCCGCCCCCATTTCTTCTTCCCCAAGACATGCACCATTTCCCCTTTTTAACTCCACCACCACATCAACTCTCTACCAAACTCACCCATCACCGTCTTCATCTTCTGGCTCCACTCCGGCAATGTACCTTTGCCTCACCCAAACACATAAAAAAACCCACATTTGCCTCATCAAACACAGAAATACCCACATTTTGTCGTCATTTTAGAAGCAAACACATACATAGATACACTCCTTTTCACCTTCTGTCTTTATCTTCGTGTAGTTGCAGCCATGGCGGTTTCTGATTCCCTTTCTCTGATCCCATATTTGCAAATTAATCTGATCCTAGAAAAAACCTAACAACTCTTCTTCTAGATTTGCATATCTGATTCTAAAAACCAAAACCCATTTTTTCCATCTTGGTCTCTAGAAATACTATAATAAAAAAAAATGATGGTGCTTATTTCTTACATTTCTTGGATCCAGTTCACAAAATCTTGAATCTTGAAGCATATTGGGTTAGAAAATCTTGAATCATGAAGCATCTTGGATTTTATATCTATTACATAGACCAAGATGGAGATGAGTATTATGTATGTTACAGAGACCAAGATGGAGATGTCTAAAAATATTTTGATTCACGAAGCATGTTGGGTTTTGTGGGTTATAGATATCAAAATAGAAATGAAAACCAATAATGTGTGAGTGGTCTTGTTAGCATTTACATCTATCCATAATTTGTTGCAAAAAACAGAGACCAAATAGAGATAAGGAGGTGTTCATCGAACATAAAAGATAGGGGAGGGAAGTTACATGTTTTTTTTTTTTTTTTTCTTTTCTATTTGAGCTGATTATTTAACAATAGATTATAGTAGACATATTTTTACAAAAATCTCTAATTTAGCCCTTAATTTAGAAGGCAAACAATTTTGAAAGAAAACAAAGGATAAAACATGTGATAGCTAGTTGGTGTTATTTGTTGATATTTTCAACATCCTTCTCCATAACAAAATAACTAAAGCAATAAATGAAAGGGAAATTAAAAATGCTTGTTTCTTTGATATTTTCAATATTGATTCTGATACCGTATAAGAATATAAGAATATTTTCAATATTGACTCTGATACCGTATAAGAATATAAGAAACTCTACATTTTATTCTCCAATTTCAAAGATCAGGAGATCAAATATTTCAACATTATTTAGAAATCTTGTAAAAGGGTATTTGTATTTATTCGATATGAATTCACCATCCTCACAGTTAATGCAGAGGATATTGATTTAAAATCAAGTAAATCAAACAAACCCAATATGTCCACTCGATAGATAATATTATTATGGATCCGTCCATGAAATTTTTTTAACTTTGTTTTTATTGAAGAATATTTAATAAATTATCGAATACTTTTCTCTATTTCATATATCTGACCAAACATTATATTTTTTTATCATCGAGTTAGTATGAAGAGATTCAGATGAAAACACTAACCGTTAGATGAATCTAATTTAGGAGATGTAAGAAATGTGGTAGAAACTTAAAAAGCCCGTTCTTTAATAAAAAAAAATAGGTGAAATATAATCAAAATTAGAGGTTAACAAATTATACAAAAAAGAGGAGAATTTATCATCGTTAATTTAATATCCATATTGTATTACCTTCTCGTCTATGTATTCATGTTTCCAACTCTTTTGTCTATTTCAATTTGAGCCCTCCTCCGAGTTAGTAATACGCTTAAATAATAGGTTGTTCAACCGCACTCGTACCGACAAGAGTCCTACAAGCATTAGAACAACACTTCAACAACTTGGAGTGCCTTTCACCGTTGAACACCTTACCTCAAACCCAAGGTATCTTTTTATTTCTCAACTAAATGACTGAATTCATGCATGATTCGTTACGTGTAGTTTATCGATTGGTGTTTGATGTTTACGTTCCAGTTAAGAACGACGGAAAACAAGCACAGGAGTCGGTACCAGTGGACCATCCCAAGTCCAAACTCCCTCAAGAATGGATTTATTGATGGTATATAGTTTTAGATGTCTACTGATATAATAATGAATGAATGAATGGATTGTTTTATAAGAAACAATAAGATAATAAAAAGAAAGGGTATGTAGGTGAAGGTCAAATAACGTGATTGTACATGTAGTGATGCTTTAAGTTGTAGGGGTCATTATTGTAAATTGTATTCTTCATGTGGCCTCTTTGTAAAATAAACAATGTAATAGAATGAAATAAGTCATTCTAAATAAATGTTGTTTAATTCTCAGTTGACAAAGCAGTGGTATGATTTTGTTCCTATATAAGATAGGTGTCGGGTTCGATCTTGTCTTGCTAGCTTCAGTCGCTAAGTGAGTAAAAATATGTCTGTTTATATTCATGTCTTTAGAGGAGGGTTTTCGTATGAGAATGTTTGAGATTGTCGACAATCAACTTAATTCAACACCTACTATAAAATGATGTTTGAAAAATAAAAATATTCTCATTTATGCTAATGTAAAATAAGATGTTTAACCGTAAGGGCGATGCCTGATTGGTTTGAGCTTGGCTTCAAAGGTCAAAAGTACTAGGAGGTCACGGGTTCAAATCCAAGGAGAAATAAAAATCCTCTTGTGACCACAGAAGATCAAATACGGTGACTCCGGGCTATCTACAAAACATGTCATTATTCTATAACTAGTCTACTCGTATAATCGGTTGGATATTCAGGTTAATAAAAAAAAATGTTACGTCAAATATTATTTATAATGATGGTAGCATTCAAGAGAGAAAAGGAAGAGAGAGTGTCGGTTTCAACCGGACAATTTTGTCGTTTTCTGATATGCTATTTATTTATTTAAATTTTTTTACTATAAATATATCAAATTAAATTAGAAATAAAACTTTGTACTGTTTATGTTTTTTAATTTAAAAAATATTAAATATTAAATACGAGGGTAAGGGGACGTTTACTAAACACTTACTTGGTAAGTGTTTGACGCATAAATTTTTTTATCGGATGAATATGAGAAGGTCCAAAAATCTTACTGGGTAAGAGCGATGAGAAAAATGGAGAGTCTTACCCGATAAGTGAAGATTACAACTTTAACCAGGTAATCACTTAGCCAGTAAATTGTTGCATTCGATATGTTTTGATGTACTAAAATTTTACGCATATAAAAAATTATAGTGTTGCCTCCTATTAATAAGCGCTTACCGGATAAACATTTGGGTAAACGGCCCCTATGAAGAATATTGGACGAAATAATAAAATTTTGTTACATTTATATTTTTTCAATTATAAGCCTAATATAAGTAGAAGTTTTATTTATTTGAAACATATAATTGATTAAATAAACTATTTTTCGTTACATTATATTATCATATGATTTCATAAAATAAAAAATTATAAATGATTTGATTTTTTTTTATTATATAATCATCTTAATTATTTCATTTATGTTTAATTAATTCTAAATTCAAATTTAAAAAAATATATTTACTTGATAAATTAGGTGCTTAGTTATATGAATAGAGCTAAAGGTGGTTACCCACAGGTACAATCTCTTAATTGACCCTCCCACTTGTAAGTTGTATCTCATGAAATGTTTATTTCTGGATCATCCTTTTCAACTCAAACAAAACAATAAGAAAGGCTTCTTGATGTCATTTGTTGTCAATATATACCAACTTGCTTTTTAAAACATTGATTTGAACCCATCCTATTCTTATTACTATTCGAAAACGAGATTCCGGGTAAATTTGTCGATCTGCCAAAAACACTGTTTCTAGCGGTATTCTGGCGGATTGCCTGTTTCCGACCACCGAAAATCCACCACAGATTTTTTCAACTTTTATAAATTGAATTAATTAAATTTATAATTATGTGAGTTGATTTTTTTTCCAATCCGCCCGTGAAAATCATGTTTTTAGTAGTATATGAAATGTGGGTGGTGTGAGTGATGAAAGGGTACGAAATATGTGTGATATGTGAGTAAATGGGTATGAATAACAATCCCATGTAAATAACGAATATTATAGAAATATGAGTAACATGTAAAACAAATTTATTAAATGATGTGCCAAATCAAATCAAGTATGGTTGTTTTCAAAATAGCGACTTTGATTTAAAATTTCATAAATGTTATGGCATTTGATACATATTAGCTCATGGGATCATACAAAGTGTCAATTCACATGACTTTGACAAAATCCAGCCTTTTAAGTAAATGTAACTTCAAAGAAGTTGACACTATATTGGAAATCTTCGGATCAAATCTTTGTTAAAATTAAGTCCTGAATCTCATCCACGAAACAAGGTTCATGATTTCTTTTTTCAGTATACAACCTGTTATGCGAGCTGACTAATCTCAGAACAATCACTCATTTCACGGGTAGCTCGGAGTCACCACATTAGAACATTTGTGGTCACAAAGAGATTTTTGTTTCTCGTTAGATTTGAACCTGAAACTTCCGGAACTTTTGACCTTTGGAGCCCACACTCAAATCAATTTTGACACCACTCTTGTGGTGTTCATGATCATTTTGAATTCATTGGGAAATAAATTGATGAACATAAATACATTGGTGACTCGTACATGTACCAACAAAAGAGTACCAAAAAGATTACAAGAAAGTCTTTTTCCCCTTTAAATAGTATAGTTCACATTCATGGCAATCGCCAAACCATCTTTCTTGATCTTTTTTTTTTACTAAACCGCTAGATTCGACAGCCCATGATTTTCTAAACATATTTAATTTAATTTATGGATACAATTGTTACAATTAAAGACCGAAATATTTCAATAATGGATTCACTGATGATTAAAAAGTTCATTCAACAAAAAGCTTATTGTTAGTGTGAATCTAAAAAAGCCCGATAAATTTAGTATGAAACTAAGCATCATTCTTTTATGTAGAAAAATATATGGATAATCTGTATTTTATCGTTTTTTCTAAGAAGAAATCAGATAATTAGCTTAATGGATAAATAATTTGTATTAAGCATATTTATTAGATGATAAGTTAGACTAAGAGACCAAAGGGTCTTTGACCTAACGTTACTGTAGTATTTAGCCTCCTAGGAGGTCAGGGGTTCAAACATCACCAAATATGAAGAGGATGTGTAAGTTTATTTATTAGATTCGTCATATATATATTTATATACTTGAAAGAAAAGTTAGACTAAGGGTAAAATGTTGCTTTTTACTAATAAAGTTAATGAAGAGATTACACCACAAACCTATATATACTTAAACTAATACAGCTGAAAATACCAATAACCTTGATTTTACATGAGTTTTGTGATGGCTTCAAATCGGAGTATAAGAGCATATGCGTCAAATCTACTTGATTTTTTTAAAATAAAGAATCAAAAGTTAAAATTTTTAAAAAGAAATTATATGGAATTAAACAAAAGGTCCGAACGCCCGAGGACGAAAGAGAAAATGCTCCGGGTTGCTTCCTCTGTCGTCGCAAGGGAGCTCTTGGCGAGGAGACCTTAGGATCAACTTCAACATATTCTCTATTTCAAAAATTTCAGTATTATTTATATTATTAGAACATTCTATCTATACTACCTTATGAATCAAATCTTATAAAAATCTTAAAAACAATTTTTAATGCATACATTTATGCATAAAGTCTTAAAACCAACTCATAACACGTAAGGTACAAGTTGTCAATACTAAACGACAACTAAGAATTTATGTTACCTTAGATGTCAATTCAATCTCCAATGTGAGATTCAATGTTCAAGACCACTCCTGATTCAATTCTTGCTTCCATCTCCACTCCTGATTTGATTATTGATAGCTTCTCATATATGTTTAGGGTTTCGCTTAATCTTCTCCCTATTTGAGGTTAGAACTTGTATTCTCTGATCTATTGTGTTCTTCATCTCGATTTGTCGCTTCTCGGTTTTGTTTACCTACTTGACCATCTCGAAATTTCTTAGTCTCAATGGTACATAACCTTGTTGAATGAATTTTAGGTTTTTCCCCTTTGTACATTTTGAGATATTAGTTATTTTTGTTAGGCTAATATAGCTTTTGGTTGATTGAGTTACGAGCGCTAAAAGCTTGTTTTGATGCAATTATCACAAATACCATCATCATACATGGGAGGAAGTGGTATATGTATTCCAAATGAATAGCCAGCAAATGTCGAGGATCACCACTCGCATTAAGAACTTGTAGATGCACCTTGGGGAATCAACATTTTAATGGGCAGAAAGGAAAGCTAATCAACAAATGGTGGAAGATTCATGTTTACATATGCAACTTAAATTTATATCATCAAAACTTGGACACGCCAGATCATTACATTGGATGTTATCAAACAGAATGGTACCAGATGACACCAAGCATTACGCCGAACACTTTGCAGACAAACCCATCACGAGACTGCACTATGCTTATTACGTACGAACAATAAGACGCACGTAAGAGGTAGAAATTCTAACCAGAAATTTGAATCGATTTCACATCAGGTTCCTTCACTTCCTCTTTTGGTACAGTAATCGTAAGCACTCCATTCTCCATTGAAGCCTTCACCTGCTCCAATTTCGCGTTCTCTGGCAGCCTGAACCTCCTCGTGAACTTCCCACTACTGCGTTCCACTCTGTGCCATRTATCATTCTTATCTTCTTTCTCAACATTCCTCTCACCGCTGATCTGCAAGATCCTGTCGTCTTCAACCTCCACCTTCACTTCTTCCTTCTTGATCCCTGGAAGATCAGCCTTGAAAACGTGCGCTTCAGGGGTCTCCTTCCAATCGACACGGGTGTTTACCAAAGCAGAGGTTTCCCTCCAAGAATTAGTAGATACAGATGGAGTTGGAAAGGGGAAGTCCTTGAAAGGGTCCCAGATATCCATGGCAAATGGGTCGAAGATGCTGCTTCGTCGGCCACCAAAGAAGCTCGGGATGATCGACATCTTTTCACTGCAAATGAATCAATACAAGTAATGTAATCTTGAACCTTGGTGAAGGAAGAGTGGGAGCATGGGTATTTATAGTTTTCATGGAGGGGATTTCAGGGACGTTCCGGAAAGATCGATAGCATCTTCCGGTAACCAGTTAAGGCACTTTCTCGAAAGATCCTTTTTTTATTCTTTCCGGTAACTACTTCAGCAGCTTCTGGAATAATTTGTTAGTATTTCATAATTTAAATAAGAAATTATAGAAACAACATAAAAACAATAATTTAATCATTATTTTATTGTTTTTATGAAGATTATAATCCGACAGTAATTAACAAATAACAATGAAACAAATCAAAGTTCCACTTTGGTTTGTCAAAGAATACTTCAAATAGCTGTAATCCTTCAATAACGTTAATCATTTATAAAGATTCATCGATGGAATATCAAAAATTCCACTAAAAGAATCACATACTTAAAAATTAATCAACGAAATGTTCATCGAATGATACATAAATAATATAAAGCGATAATGTTTTTTATTTTTTAATATTATATAAATTTGATATCAATATCAAATTAGCTATTTAAAACTTCTCGGGTTTCTTATGTTGGATTTCGAGTCACGGAATGACAACGACATCGAGTTGACAGCAGAGAAATACTTCAAAACCCCAGGTTCGGGAGGGTACTTCTCGGACCGAGAAAGAGGGACTACTTGATGTTGCATGTTAGAACTTTCTTTAATTCAAATTTTTAACTTTAATTTAATTAAAAATTAATAACGAATTAATTTTTGGTTTGATAATATAATTTTTTTATAAATATAATAATTAAATATTCTGTTAGAACTTAATGATTATCCTAATTAGATTTTTTATATTTAAAATGAGATTTTTATCATATATTTGATTATGTTTATTTGCAGTTAGTTATACTAAATCAAATATGAAGTTTTAATAAGTAGTATTTAAGCATAACCTACTTGTAATAAACAATACTCTATGTATAAAAATGATTTTATCAATTTTTTTATAATATAAGTATAGATAATATGTGGGAGTAAAATAAAAAGAAAATATTCATTTTCTTTAAAGATGCTATAAATATTTAAAAACATAATATGATGACGATTATATCAGTATGTTAGACCATCACGATCGTACAATTATAACAAAATGTCATACCAAACATACCTATGACAAGTCACATCTACAAATTGAAATTTTTATGTTCGTTTTTTGAGAAAAATCGAACACAATATATGTCGAAATAGTCATATCATCATTTCTATGTTAATTTGTGGGTACTTAATCATTAGTACAAATTAGTTATCTTTTTTATACAATCATTTCGTCCAACATCTAACTATCATATATATCAAACAAGAGACGACGTTACCGTATATGCAGAACTTTCTATGTAACATAAGTTAGCGTTTGTGAGGGAAGGATAGGATGATGCAGGACTCAATCGAATATAACTGAGTTGATTGTATGGCCTGCTTTTGGTACGACTAAAATAGAATTGAACCAATTATGTGTCTTGTATTTGACAAGTTGGGTAGGAGAAAAGATAATTGTTAAAATGACCATACTGCCCCTAAATATCTTTTAAGGTTTTCCATATTATATATATATATATATATATATATATATATTGTAAGGGTGTCCGGGCTAGAGCCCGACTAATCCCCGGCAAATTTGGAGGCTAAACATGGTCCCACTTAAATGTCACCAACACTCTCCTCCCAGGGCTCGAACTCGGGTTCATGACTATGTCATGCCCAAACTTTTACCACTAGGCTGGAAGGTCTTTGACTTATATATATTTAATATTAATAAATGACACAAGTCAACCAAATATTTAAATAATTTATTTATAATAATTACAAAAAAGATCTTAATGTTAGATATACGGAGGAAGGAGAATGCGATATCATATATGATTACACTCATCTGGGATTGTTTAATTATATATGACTAAATGTCTATGTATTATCAATACAACATGTGTTTTAAGTTTGTGTATAATGCGTATAATCATATATGATATCGAAACTTCTCATTTTCTCGCAAAATGTTTAACTTCTCGTTCGAACGTGCTCCTATATATATACACACATAATTTATAAAACATTCAAACGCAACAATCATAAAACATTTCAAGATAACAATTGTTCTCACCATATTATAGAACCATCCCTCGTCCTTATCATAAATTGATTTCACAACAATTGTTTTCATCAACTTTGTGTTGTCAATTTGGAGTGAAAAGAAAAGAAAAAGATACGGAGGAAAAAAAAGGAAGGAATTTTTTTTTTTGTATTCTAGAAAGGGAAAAAATTTATTTTTGCATTTTTTTGAATAGAGAGAGAGAAAGAAATATGTCATTTTTTACAAATATACCCTGTAAAAATATATATCTTTTATAATGAAATGATGGGTAGTTTTGTAATTTTAGTAATTTTTTAAAGGTTTTAATATTTTCTCTCTTAAAAATGTTTCGAGAACATGAATTCATTTAGGAGATGTTTGGTTTGATGGAATGATTTTGAGGGATTTAGATTTGGTAGAAGGAATTGAAATGAGAGGGATTGAGATTTGGAGGGATTTATAATCTTTGTCGTGTTTGGTTTATAGGATTTGGGATGTAATTGAATTTCGTTCTTTATAAATAATTTATTAAACAAATTTATAAAAATAATTAAAATACCTTTCTATTAATTGATTATTAAAATCAAATATTTTTAACATATTTTAAAACATTATTGCATACAAATTCTACGAAATTCTGTGAAATACCAATTAACCCCATGGAATTTCAAAACTAGATATTTATTGCTGAAGCCATCCATATCTTGCAAAATTCAAGATGACTAAAACCAACTTTTCATTTGATTTGTAGCTTTGTGAATCTCATTCTTCAATTTCTACAACAATCTCCAATTGGAACGAAATCGATTTTGGTAGTAAACAAAATCAAACGAAGTTGGTCGAAGAAATCATACCAAGCTTGTGATCGATTTGGGTGTCGAAGAAGGAATGATGGTCTGGTAGGAATCAACCTAGATATCGAGATGATAGAAAAAGAAACAACAATTGATATTCTCTTGGGAGCGACCCATGTTGGCAATTTTAATTTCGGTTTTAAATGTTGTTAGGTTTATATGGTAATTTTATGATTTTCTATAAGGTTGTTTCACCTTTTTGAGAGAAAGAAAAAAGGTTCAAGTGTTGTCTGTTGAAAACTAGCTTCCGTCCACACTTGTTATATGACATGTCAAATATGAGACTATTTTTTTATCCGTTCTGTACGGTTTGGTCGCAAAAGTACCTTAAAGGCGTTCTTGACGCTTTTTTGAGAGGTCATTTTGGTGTGTTTTGAATCTTGTTTCAAGAATTTCCTAAGAGAAAAGGAACTTTGTTAAAGAATAACTTGGTTTAAGAAAAAAGAGAAAATGACAAAACTAACGATTTTATACAACCCTCTTACACAAAATAACCAATTTTTAGGGGTTTTATAAAACTAACCACACGGATCTCCTTCGGGGGTGATCCGTACTAGTGAGGGCGATCCGGCCTTTTTCTTAAAAAAAATTTAAATTTTCTTTTTTTCCACTTGGGGCGTGCCACGTCATTGGATCGCCCCCGGGGGCGATCCAAGTTTTTTTTCTTTTTTTAATTTTTTTTCTTTTTGTTGTAATACCAATTTCACTATAAATACCAACCTCTTATTTCATATTTTTTCACACCTTCCCTTTCATTTCTCTTCTCATATATTCTACTCTCACAACCCTTAACCCATTAAACACAATAAACCATCACAAAACACGAAATCACGTCAAAATGATGATGTTTGTGTATATCTTCGAAGTGGCGGTAACATTTATATATATAGAGATGCATTACGTAAAAAAACGATATAAACGGTACAAAAATTGAAACTTCGTATTTTATACGTATATATGCGTACAGGTTTTAACACGTACGCATATTTACGTATATTCATATACGTTTTACGTACGTATTTTTAACGTATATATGCGTACGGGTTTTAACCCATACACATATTTATATATCTTCACGTACGTTTTACGTACGTATTTTATACGTATATATGTGTACGGGTTAAAACCCTTACGTATATTTACGTATCTTCATGTATGTATGTACGTATATATATGTACGTATGTATATACCTACTTACATTTACGTAAAAAAAAACGATATAAATTAGGGTAACGTGTATATGTATATATATATATATATATATATATATATATATA